GTTATTGAATATTATAGGTGTGTAAACTCAGCAGCATATCTTATATTTTAAAGAGCCCAGGCTATTTAGGTTTTTAAAAAGAAAACTCAAAGTAAATGAGGCCCAAACAAAAAGTTCATTGAAATCACTGAATAGAGATAAACTAGTTGAATTAAATTCCTTGGGTATCCTTTGATAAACTTTAGACATTCTCTCCAGCTCCTGCTATCACAGGCAGATTTTTACATTTTGGGGGAACTAATGGTCCCTAGTTTTCAAGAAATTTTCAAATAGTTTTGTAACTAGATTAAGGACCACCATCTTAAGAGATTCCGTGGAAGAAGGAAGTCTGTTAAGTATGACGATAGATCATCTAGTATTAGGTATTAAAGTAGATTATCTGGTATTAAGTATAGATCATCTGGTTTAAGAGGGGAGGAGGAAGAGTATGGGGAGGGAAGGTGAAAACGTGTGCTTAAAATAGGACTAACTTCATAAAATATATTCAGGTATACGTACAGTGCATCAGGAGGGAGATGACAGTCTGAGATATGTAGGAATCTTTACAGTAAGCTGTGTCATGGTACTATTCAGCCATACTTACAATCTTTGTGGATGTATATTGTTTTTAGATCTTTCTTCCAGAGCCTCTGTGTGCTGGGTTACTGTATACTTCCTTTGACAGTGGCAATGCTGATTTGCCGCCTGGTACTTCTGGCAGAACCAGGACCAGTAAACTTCATGGTTCGGCTTTTCGTGGTGGTTGTGATGTTTGCCTGGTCTATCGCTGGTAAGTATCTGCCTGTCTCTATAATAGCAGAACAGACCAAAACATGAATTAAAAATGGAGTGCATATTAGTAGCAGCATCATGTGTGAGTGGTATGATTCCTGGCAGTATCATCCATGGAAACCCCTGCTCAAAGTAGGCCTCACTAGGCATGGTATCCTTTGTATCTGAGTTGGGTATCTGGACATAGAAGATACAGAGTACTCCCTTTTTTTTCTTAAATAATGAACAGAGTTGGGTAAGTAAATTACACTAGAGTTAGCTGAGTCCTCATATATATGAGACGTAAATAACTTGTGAAATGACTTGAACCTTTTCCTGATAAATCATAATAAAAATAATAGTATTTACAGATTGCTTATTGCAGACCAGGTATCATTATAAGCGATTTGTATATATTATGCCTTTAATCTCACAGCACCCTAATAGACAAATGCTGTATTAGGCCCATTGTACAGATGAGAGACAGTCACAGACAGGTTCAGTCAGCACCATATCCTAGGACACATAAATAATGGATAGAGTGAAGTTTGAAACCCAAGGAAGTTGTGCTCCCTTAAGAACTATACCACTCTACCTTCTGGTGTAGGCTGTACCATTGTGTATACAATGAGTGTCCCTTATTCCAAATGCATAGGGCCAGAGTGTTTGGAATATTTTCTCCTTTGGATTTTGGCATATTTGCATATATATATATATATATATATATATATATATATATATATAGTGGCATCTCTTGAGGATGGACTCCAATTGATTTGTATTTCATAGAAACCTTGAAAAGGATTAAAAACATAGCTCTAACATAATTTTATACAGTATTTTTAGTGTGCCTGTGTTTCGGTGATATCACCTGAGGTTAAGTGTGGCATTTTGGATATTTGAATTAGAGCCTTAAAGAACCTATAGTACTTTTCTGCATGAGTAGAAAATTTTGCTAAAGATTAGGAAGGATGTACAGAGTAGCAGTAAATGCTACATGCTCATTTTTTTCAGTTTCCTAAAATTCTCTTTAAATTCCAGGTTTAACTATAAGTGCTCACTATGTTCTGATTTAAATTTGAAGTACAATAGCATCTGGGACATGGTTGATTTAACCCCAAAACAAGTCTGGGAAAGTCAGACTTGCTTTTGCAAAGACTGTGTATTAAGTATGGGTGCTTTCCCCATGTGTAAGCCTCTCACTCCCTCACTTAGAGTCCAGTAACTACTGCACATGTAGTTGTGACTAGCTTATTTACCTAGTGACCCATAGCAGATTAGTGTGAGGCACTGTGTTAGGGATAAAACATGGTACTTGGAGTTCATAGTCTGGCATAACAGTCAGATATAAAAACACTTAAAGGTAGCAGTATTCCAGGTGGGAGATGAAAGTCGTGCAAGGTGCAGTGGGGACCCAGAAGAGAGAAGTAGGCAGTTCTATTGGGAATGGCAGGATACCAAGTTGAGGAAAGATTTCCTAGAGGGGGTTCTCGTGTTTCTTTTTTTGAGAGAGTCTTGCTTTGTGATTCAAGCTGGTGTTGAACTCACTATGTAGCCCAGGCTGGCCTCAAATTTGTGACATTACTCCTGCTTCAGCCTCCCAAGTGATTGGGGTTACAGATGTGTGCCACCATGCCAGGCCACCAGAGAGAGTTATTGTTCAAGAGTAAAAATATGCTGATAATGTAACAATAATAATTAACTCAAAAAATGCATTATAATGAGGCCATTTCCCTGTGGAACAAATAACCTTATACATCATTATAAGTATAATTCTATAACTTTTCAGTAAAATATAAGAAACCCCTTTTAGAAAGGTTTCTATCCAGCTGGGTATAGTGGAACATCCATGTAACCCTAGCACTTTGGGACACTGAGGCAGGAGAATCATGAGTTCAAGCCCAGCCCAAGCAATTTAGGAACTTGTTGAGGCCCTGTCTTAAAATAAGAAAGAGGTGGCTGGGAATGTGGTTCGGTGTGAAAGTCCTGGGTTGGGTTCAATTCATAGTATGGAAATAATAACAACAAAACCAAACAACCCTTCTATCCAAAATTGTCAAGAATTGAAGCTTTAGGACTTGAAATAAGAATGCTTCAAGCTATCTGTGGATTACAAATCTAAGTGCACTTTTTGTGTTAAGAGATCAAACCCAGGACTTCACAGAAGCTAAGTATATGCTCTAGCATTGAGCTACCTTCCAGCCTATCTATAACAGAACTTTTAGTGTGATTTTTCTGAGGTTCATGAATAGAACTGACCTTTTAGTGTGATTCTTTGAAGATTATGAATAGAACTGAGCTTTTAGTGTAATTATATCTTTCAGATTATGGTATGTACATTGGTGTTTGTAGTCATGACAGTATTTGTGTATTAAATATTCCTTTTTGTTTTGTTTAGCCTCTACAGCTTTTCTTGCTGATAGCCAGCCTCCAAACCGCAAAGCCCTTGCTGTGTATCCTGTTTTCCTTTTCTACTTTGTCATCAGTTGGATGATTCTCACCTTCACTCCACAGTAAATTGGGAAACAGTAATTTACAATCTGTGAACTAAAGGCTCATCAGGAAGATATCATCCACCACGGAGCTGTGACATTAGTTCTTTTGTCAATTTTTGGTGGCTATTAAAGCGGAACCAAATGGCACTATTGTCGCCTATATAAGGAGCTGATGTTTGCAAGGCTGGCCTTTCCTCTTAATGTTATTTCTGTCAAGTACAAGTGCGTGCTGCACACAGTATAGTGCCTGCTTAAGGCATGATGAAGTCACTAGTCCATTCGGGTGACAGCTAATGACTTGGGTAGCACATGAATACATCTGATAAGTTGAATAGAATTAGAAACTATTTACAGCTTTGAGAAAATCAGTTCCAGTGTAGCTCTTAAACATATTGCCTTATGACTATTAGAATATGTCTCTTGTCATAAGTAAGAGTGGATAATTTCCATTTTCTTTTAAGCTTAAAAAGGCAATGGCAGAGATTAGGGATGGGGTTTTTAGATATAGAAAGAGAAAACATTTTAACCATTATGCATATTTTAGTCAGGAAATTCTATACTTGTTGCTTTAAAAAGCAGCAAAGGACATTAAAGTGTCAGCCTCTTTGGTCTTTTCGGACAGCCACCTTTCTGTTATGCTTAACAACAAGCACTTGCAGTTAACTCCATAGTATTTTGTTTCATTTTGTTTTGAGACAGGATCTTGCTGTGTAGTCTAGGCTGGCCTTGAAATCACCATGTAGCTCAGGCTGGCCTCAAAATCCTGCCTCAGTCTCCTAGATGCTGAGATTCAAGGAATATACCACTACACACAGATTTTAGTCTTTAATTTTGTTCCCTATTTCTGCATATACAATCTAAGATGTTATCAGTTGATATGTAATTCTCCTTTGACTGAAATTTTCCAATGTCCAATTTTGGAGCTTATCCAAGTAGAAGAGCTTAGACATTTAGGTTGGTGAATGTCTAATACATAGTATAATGTGATTCCCTTCTCTTAAGCTACAGCAGTTGTGATACAGCGTAACTAGAAGAAATTTTTCAGTATTTTGTATAGTCTGGCCTTTGACCAGAAAGTCAGGCTAGATCAGAAGTCTGCATTTAACCAAGTGAACATGGAGGGATTTATTAAAAGGGAATCATACCAGCACTATTGTCATATATGGAGTTGATGTTTGCAACACTGATGTTCTAGTGTTTTGATGGTTGATTCAAAGAGCAGGTAAGGCATAACATGAGGTGAGTTTACAGCTGCTGCCTTTGCATAGTGGGCTTAGCAGCTTTTTCTTTACATGTGGCTTTTGGGTTGGGGAATAGCTGTTTATTTTCTAGGTTTTAGCTTTATTAATAAAGCTAATTAGCTCTTTCAGACAAATACATTTTGCACATGTGCACCTATTTGTTCTCAAGTATTATGCACAAAGTGTGAAGGTTTTTCAGGGAGCTGAGAGTCTGGGGACAGGCTGATTCTAAGCTAAATAGGGCTCCTAAGGTACTGTGAAATTGCACATTAAGGAACTCTAGAAAACAAAGATTAGGAGTCAGGCAGAAGATTCATTGTAAATATGCAGTGACTTATAACAATTTCTTATCCCACATTCTTTGTCATAGAGTATAAATACTCATTTTGTAAAGACTACCTATGTATAAATACATACTACTAAGAATGTAATTTCTGTATCTCCAGGTTACCCAAGGAAACAGTACTAGGCCAAAAGGATTCTTAAATGGCACTCAGTTATAAAGCATTATAGGAATTTGTCCCCTCTGTTCTAGCCTTGTCCAGGACTTTTGGATATGTATATACTCATTGTAATTTACCTTTCAGATTGTAAAATAAACCCTTGTAAGGACAAACCTAGTATTTCAGTCTTGAGTTGGTAAAGAAAATATTTAGAAACTAATCCCAATTTTGAATTTGTTTCTAAATTATTCATTTCCATTATCTAAAATTTTCTAATGTCCCAAATAAAATATCTCCCCAAATTATTTTGCAGTCTGCCCAAATGGTTATAATTTAAAGGTAAAGAAGTAACCATGTTTCAAAAAAGGAATGAAGACTACCAAAGTTTTCTCAAGTGGAACATTTTAGTAGAAGATCCTAAAGCCACAGTTAGGGGAGTATGTGTACCTGTGGGTGTGGGTTTTACATATTGGATAATAAGACAGCTTGTTCTGTGTATTAATCTGTTGCTCTTGAGTGACTTGACAGATGATTTTAAATGGTTAAAATGAAGGTTTAGGGCTAAGGGTGGTGGTTCAGTGTTACAGCAGTTGCTTAGCATATGTGATATCCTAGGTTAGCAAATGTGATATCCTAGGTTTAATCCCTAGCACCAAAAAGAGAAACTGGATAAGCTGTAGGTTTAACTTTTTTTCTGAAAGTGAATGATTGGCTGGAAGATAGCAGTATATTTTCCAACACATGCAAAAAGTACATTGTTTTCTGCAACAGAAGACCTGAGAGTCTAGAAGTAGTAACCCCCAGCACAACTTTTTTTAAGTTGCTGTACAGACACATGGCTGGTTATAGAAACAGGACCTGATACAAGTATTGAGGTATTTCATGCTTAAAATGAAATGTGGCATGGATGCACCACTCCAGAGTGTGGGGTGCCATTGCTATCATCAGTGCTTTTGCTGTTCCACTTCTGAGACTGATACTCTATTTTCATATTCTTCAGCAAGAAGGGTGAGGATGTGGTTTCACTTCTGTTCTAACTACAAAAACTGTTGATGACAACATATTTGAATGTACAGTATGGTCTTAAAAGTCAACCGTTAGTCACTGAGTCTTTGACCTCTATTTTTTTTTCTTTTTGCCACAGGGTCTCACTATGCAGCTCAGGCTCGCTTTGAGCTAACTTCGAAGCCCAGACTGGTCTTGAACTCACACTGATCCTCCTGCCTCAGCAGGAGGATTACAGGCGTGTGCCACCATGCCTGAGCTTCTTAATAGGTTTCCTATGTGAGTTAATTTTGATCTTTTTGTTGTGGTGAGATTTTTCTGCTGTTGCACAAGGTCACAAGGCATGGGATTGGTAATCATTTTACTGTTGACTTTAAAAGTTTAAGGGCCAGGGAGATGGCTCATTAGAATAAGCACTTCCCTGGCAAGCGCAAAGGCCTGAGTTCAATCTCTGGTTCCGCCTAAATAAATAAATAAATAAATAAATGTATAAAGTACTCTTCAAATTGATTGGAAGGCTAGCTAGCAAGCATGTATTTGAAGGTTGTTACACACCTTATGTAAGCTATATTTCTAGAGATAAAAATGAAAGTTTTATCAGTTCAGATTTGTGGGTAACATTAATTTCTTGGAATTTATCTAAATCTCGTGCTTTAATAAGACATCCATTACATGCAGCTGTTTTAGTCCAGTGTGAAGCTGTGAAATTGTAATTCATAACTAGACTGTTCACTTCTGGCATATTTGGTTGGAAATATATGGATGTTTATGTATATAAATTAGAAATACTTTTCTAGATTCTGTGAACTTTTATTAAATATAGACTTTCTGAGAATTAGGCCATAGAATGGTCAAATTAATAATAATTATATCACTAATAATAACTAATAACATTTATTGTTTTTTTTTTTTTTTTTTTGCAGAACCAGGGATTGAACTCAGATCCTTGCGTTTGCCAGTCAAGCGCTTATCCTACTGAGCCATCTCCCTGGCCCCTAATAACATTTATTGGGTACTTAATAGACACTATTTTGTTTTTTATCTTCTTTTTTTTTGGGGGGGCACCAGGAATCAAACTAGTGCTTACCAGGCAGGCACTGCACCACTGAGCTATATCCCCAGCTCCCTATTTTTAAAAGAATTGTATAACAGCTTTATTGAGATACACTTTGCCATGAAATTCACTCTTTTGAAGTGTAAAATTGAGTGGGCTTTAGTATATTCACACAGATTTACAACCATCATTTCTAATTTTAGAACATCATACCATAAAGAAGTCTGGTTCCATTAGCAGTCCTTCCCATTCCCCATTCCCCTCAGCCCCTAGCAGCCACTCTTCTGCTTTCTCTCTTTTTCCCAGCCCAGTTCTTTAACACTGCTCCTTGACATCAAGTGCTACAGTTCGTGTGTGTGTGTGTGTGTGTGTGTGTGTATGTGTGTAAATTATGTAAATAAGCACAGAAAGATCTCAGGACCTTGTGTTTGCCAGACAGGCGCTTATGCGGCATCAAGGATTGAACTCAGGCCCTTGCACTTGCCAGGGAAGTGCTTATTCCACTGAGCCATCTCCCTGGCCCCTAGAAGTAGGTAATTGAAGCATAGAAAAGTTAAGTAGCTGGGCGTGGTGGTGCATGCCTGTAATCCTAGCACCTAGCAGGCTGAGGCAGGAGGATCGTTGCAAGTTTGAGACCAATGTGGGCTACAAAGTGACCTCAAGGCTAGTCTGAATTGCATAGGGAGATGCTGTCTCAAAAAGACAAAAAAAAAAAAAATCGGCCAGGGTCACATAATAAATTCACTTGTGATGCAGTTTATACATTAGAACATAGTAACTAGTTTTGAATTGTATTTATTACATATATGAATTGAACATACCACTTTACCACGATATTCCCTTGTTAATAGGATATTCCCTTGTTAATAGCGTTTACACTCTAGAATTACTGGAGGTAAATAACTTTTTTCTCAACAATATTAGGAACTGTATCAGTGGCATCTGGAAAGAACACAACGGCCATTGTACTTGGGAAGAGTTAGGTTGCTCTCCCCACCCTCCTCGATCTCCCTTTCTCCCTTTCCCTCCTGCTGGCTACCATACACATAACATCTCTTTTTCTTGAAATCTGAAGAATCAAATTTTTTTTTCCTTCCAGAAGGATGGTAATGCATCAAAGTGTAACTTGGCAATTTAAGTGTGTAATAGTGCAGGGAGGCATTTGGTCACAGTGCCAGTAATGTTTCTAAGACCAGTGAGCGTTCGTGTGTGAAGGAAATAGAATACTTTTCTAGTAGTATGAAAGTAGGTGAGAAGAAGAAATGACAGTAAAGACTTCACCTTTTAGAAATCAGTGTCCCTGGTCAGAAGTAGCCACTTGCTGTTCTTTTTCACTCCTCATGAGTCTTTGTGTACAATCACTGCTGATAATCTCTCAGTCCTCTTCAGTACTTTTTTTTTTTTGGCTCCGAATGCCTTCAAGGCGAGTTGTGGGGATCGAACCACAGCAACCTGAGCCTGACTGCTTTGTTGAAGCAGCCACTTAAAAGAACTGAGCTAAGGGGCAGGCCCCCACTTCAGTACATTTTAACACTGATCTTTCCTATAAATGACAGGCCTGTGAAAGAGGAAACCCATGCATAATTTGAATGTTAATTATGTAAATAAACACTAGAAAAGGAGCATTTGTGTATGCCTATCATTGCACTGAATGTTTGCAGCATACTAATTGTGGATATATTTGCTGTCATTAGACAATACAGAATGCGGCAGGACTCCGTGGGGAACAAGCTAGAAAGGGCAGTCACATTTATTGAGCAAATACTCTATGCGTATGCCAGACAGTTTAGTAGTGCTTTGTAAACTGTACCTCCTGTAAACACTGTAGCCTCTTTGGAACTTAGCACAATGCAAAGCACATAAACACAACTGGAAGATAGTGAAGAAAGGTTTATTACGTGGAGCAAGTACAAGAACACGGAATAATTCCCAAAGCAGCCTCCTCAAGCAAGGGGCCTTTGAGGAGGAAACATTCCTACAGGAAATACCACATGTGGAAGTGGGCACATTCTTAATCATGCCCAGCTCCAAGTCCTGCTGCTTCAGGGTTCTAGGGGGAGAATTTAGTATTAGAATGAGCTAAGTGTAGTTCACCTAAAAGGAGTGAGGTGCGGCTGATTGCAATTTTGTCTGGCTCCTTGTAAGTTATTGTGGAAAGTCTCATAAAACTGTGGAAACAATGGAATAAGTAATTTGGGGAACCATCTGACCCTCTCTATTTCTACTTATCTTCCATTTTGTACCTTATTTGCATATACCATATGTCTTAGTTACTCTTCTCTCGTTGCTGGGACAAATACCCAACACTCAAAATGAAGGAAGGAAAGGTTTATTTAGCTCACAGTTACTGGAGGTTTCAGTCCATACTCAGCTGGATCCAACGCAGAGCAGCACACAGCAGAAAGCAACCTTCCATGGCGGCAGCAAAGAGCAAGAGCGCAAGGGAGGGGTAGCAGCAGCTCAAGCAGCTAGCTTCTCTTCCCACCTTACATTGTAATGCAAATTACCTGCCCCAGGGTAGGGGAAGTACTCACACCTATGGGTACTTCCCAGTACTTACCCACCTATGGGTAATCCTAGCAGTACTAAGACCCATAATCCCAGCCTTGGATCACAGATAATCCCAGTGGATCATGAGTTAACACAAACTCTAGAAGTCCTCACCCCATGACTGCATGAGGCTTTGGGGGGACAACTAGACACAAACCTTAACACCATATAATTTTGAGTTTCTCATATAAGAGATCATGGGAGATCTTAACATGTTCATGATGGGCGGCTCTGATCTGATTTGCATCATTCCACTGGTGCACCATGTGTGATGGTCCTATCGGCAGGCTTATACCGCTTCTTGGGGTCTTTGATCACACTCATGCAAAGAAAGGTGTTGGGTTTAGCACACCAGATATTATATTACAGTTCCTTAAGGAAAAGTGTTAAAATAGTATAAAAGTTGTAATACAGCTAATTTGTACAGCTGTTGTAAATGCACAATATATATACCAGCAATGGGGTACTTGTAAAATTTCCTTAAAAGTTCTATAATTAGGGCCAGGGTTAAGTGTCTCGGGCTTAAGTGTCTGCCTGGCAAGCACAAGGTCCTGAGTTCGATCC